ACTAGAAACAAGTGCATCGCTACTAGGAACAAGTGCATCGCTACTAGGAACAAGTGCCTTACTAGTAGTAACAAGGACGCTACTAGGAACAAGTAGTTCATTCAGTTTCAATTGGGCCTTGAGGCCGCCAGTCTCGTGGACCACAGGCAGGGTTGCATACCTAGACCACTGCTTAGCCGCCAAGACTACACACCGAAGGCATTGTAATTCTTTCATCTGCTTTCAAACATATCTGTATCTGCTTTTTTTCAGAGCTTTCTTTCCTTCCTTTCTTGTTTTCATTTGTTTTCAATCTCTTCTTCTTTTTTCTGCTCTGTAGATCTTTCTTTCAATCTCGAAGTGAAGCAAATGAATGTGCTTCTTCAAGGTGCTGCTGAGCATACATCTGGGGCAGGCCACACGGTTCATACCTGGAATCAGCATTCAGCTCAAGACGGGACCGGGCAAGTGAAGACGGGATTCGTCAACAAGGAATAAGCCCACTTGATAGAAACAAAAACTCAACTGGAACAACTCGCACTGACATTCTGGTTGCAGTATGTTGGTTGAACACTGTTGGATGCTGTGTTGAAGAAAAAACAACACAATGGATGTGGAAGAAAGGTGGCTGTGCGTGACAGTTTCTGTGAACGCCGAGGGTGCTGTGAGGGCATAAGCAGAATGTCGCAGCCCGCCATCATCCGGTGCTCAATAATTGGATCAAACCCAACCTTAGCAAAACGAACTGTCTCTTAGCAAAACTCACGAACTTCCTTGTATGTGTCTGGAATTTGGTCTCCTTGGCCGCTTTTGCCTTGTGCGGCTCAGCAGCAAAGGCGCAAACTCGTCCAGGAAAAGACTCCTGCAGGCGGAACCGGCACATCTCATAATTCTTCGAGGGGCAGAAAAGGGTCCCAAAAAAGGAAAAACACAAGAAGGAATCAAAGGCCTAAGGCATTGCAAACAACACAAACAAATAAGTAGACGGTCCTTTCCCCCTTTTCCATTGTTTAGGACAATAATTTCAATTTAAAACACATATTGGAGCGCAATCTTAGGAAACAACGCGTTCTTGCTTGTACAGTATGTCATTCAAACACAAAGCGCTTCAAGCAGCCCACTTGCCAAACACTAGAAGGGAGACAATTTAAAACAATTACATACTCCCTCTCTCTCTCTGGCTCTCTTTCTCTTTCTCTTTGTTGCTCTTTTCTCACTTAGTCTCTCCATAAGCATGTGACCTGTCTTTGTGATTTCTAGAAATGACGCGTCTGAAAGTCATGGCACCTCAGCCTTCCTCAATTGACTTTCGTACTTCAAGTCACCTTTGCCCATCATCCTGCCAGATTTCTGAAGAAAGCAAGCAGAAAACCAACATGTAGGTTGGAGGCCATCGCTAACTCAAAAGAAGACCGCCTATTTCTATTAAGTTTGTTTTCTCCACCAAGACTGCTCTTTGGGGCCCTTGCGCCAGTTGAACAAAGCCGTTCACTCCGTTGCCCTGCCACTGGCTCAAAGGCGTGGTTTATGCGATGCTTTCTGTTTTGCAAGATGCTACTAGTAGCTTCTAGCTACTAAATTAGTTTAATTTAATACTAATTATTGTTTCTACTAGCTTCTTGTTACTACTAGTAAGGCACTTGTTACTAGAAGCGATGCCAGGAGCCCCTAGTAGCGGGAACCTCGTAGCTGGTACCGTTTTGCGGGATGGACAAACCTCGATCCGAGAACTGAACCGCCTCATCGCGCATCAGCCATGACAGGCAGTCCTGCTTTAGCGGATTGAGGCGGATGTCACCAGGTAGTCAAAATTCAGTTCTTGGTGAAGGAAAAGGAAGATCAACAAAGAAAAACGGTCGAACATAAGGAGTTTTCGTCAGTTCTGGCAATAAGAGGCAGTATGGTTGAATATTCCAATAGTACTTGAACCTCCAAGCCCATCTTGGGAGCATCGTGCAATCAGTCCAGAATGAGGTGGATGCCCTTCTGGAAGCAAAGCCGACCACAAAAGCCGATCAGGCATAGCTTTGGATCCTGGCGTCACAATCTAGCCGGAAATCAATGCTTTGAGCGTATCAAGTCAGCTTTTAACTTGCAGTATATAGTTGACTTTTTTGGCATGCTAGTCGGATTTTGG